TATATATATATATATATATAATTGATTAGTAGTATTTCAAGCCAAAATGAGCCAAACACGAACGTACAAATATTTGTTCGTGTTCGGCTCGTTAACTTAACAAACAGGCTGAACACCGGCTTCTTAAAGAGCCGAACTTGAGCTGTTATGGAAAAATATGGAGGCTTATTTTGAATGTAAATGCAAATAAAAGTTCTCTTTTTTAACTGCGTCTAATTTCTATATTGAAATTTTTATTGGATTTTTGTTTCAGGCATCAATTGCCACAATAATCGTTCTTTCTGCATAGTATCATGGGAGTCTTATATGTCTGAACTCACGAGTACTAGAAGTAGTCTAAGAGCTCAAAAGTTTCATTATTGATGTCATAATCTTTTTTTATAGGAATTTTAGAATACAAATACATGTATGGAAGTGAAAGTTTCTATAATTATCTTAATAATTCTTATTTAAATTACATGATATTGATAATAAGAGTCAACGTATGGTTGGTTAGCTCTGCTAGTTATGTTGATCATTTGTTGTATATGTGTCGGTCGATTGCGACGTCTGACTGTGTACCCTTCAAAGATTTGATCGCTTGATCAGGATGAGTGGATTTTGACAGTGGTCTCTTAATTGGTAGGCTCGTCGATCGACTGACTTTGTTAGGCGAAGGATTCTTGTGAGTTGAATGGTCACGTCTGTCAGTTGTGCCATCGAATCAATTGATGGCTTTGCTGATGGATTTTATGTTCTGTTGACTAGGACACCACGTGTACAACCCAATTCCCGATCACTCAATCACTTCGAGATTCATCCTGACATTTTTGTAATATATATATTAGTTCTTTGATTTTCTTGCTCCTTGATAGCGACTGTTACTATAAGGATAAGAAAATTAATAAGCAATAAATGAAACAAGAATCGAGAAAAATAATTTGATAAAAGATTCTCCATTATTTTTCGTGCCTAGTAAACCCTATAAATAAGGGTGTATAGTAAGATTTATTTCTTTTTATTCACGTTCTCTTCGCTTCTTTCAATTAGCATCATAGCTGATAGTTTGCGCAAGAAGGAACTGGTTGGTATCTTCATACTTTGGAAAGTTTTGGCCTCTCGGCGCCCTTTGTGACTAAAAAAAAAGAGAAGATTTGTGACGAAAAAGAAGTGAGCGAAATGCGAATCTGAGTCAACCAATAAGGTAGGTTCTTCTAAAAGTCATGACGCTCGACCGTCAAGGAAGACATTGACAATGGATCCTAACCTGACGCCCGGTTCCAGTGCTGACGCACTTGTTGGAGAAAGTGGATGGGCCACCCCTCTCGATTAGAAGGAAAAGTCACCCACTGATCTTATCTTGCCTTCTATAACAAGTAAGAATGGAGAGGTTTTGCTTTTAGGAGCGCAGGAGTTGATGACTACCTCTAATATAGATAAGATTTTGGGTATGAAAAAGTTTCTCTTTCATAAGAATTTTTTAATACTCCTTTTACATCATCTTTGATACAAATGAGTCGATTGTTCTGAAGACCTGTGTTGATAACAGACTGCCCCCGAATGCTTTTGATTCTGCTTCAACTGTTGAGATTGCACCTTCGGGATCAATCATGGCACCTTCGGGACCAGTCGTGGCACCTTCTACGGTTGACCAGATTCTGTGGGGCTTGATCAACTTCCTTGGCAAATCCCAGCAGTAGTACTCGAGGGGTTGACAACTGTCTTCTGAGTCAATTGAGAGTTGGATGAAAGAGATAGTGTACCCCTCGACCCAAGTAGCCATCAATTTGGCTGTAGTATCTGTGACGAAGTAGTTGGTTTGTTGCGAGCGCCTAGAGGTAGAGGTCATTGCTTTGCAGTGAAGGTTCGCCAATATTACCAGCGAGCTTATGCCACTTCAAAGTTCCGTGAACAACGTGTATGCTGCATTGTCACTCATTTGCGAGTCAAATGATTTTGAAAAGATTTTATCATGATGTCGACTGGATGGAGCATATCAAGCTGAATGGAGAGTTGGTCCTCTTTAGAATATTTCAGAAGGTGTATGCCTCGACTGAAGTGGAGGAAGATCCATTTATAAATGTTTTTCTTCGTAAACTGTAATGATGTTATGTACAATAAAATTATATTTAAATGATATTGAAATAATGTTTAGTGTGACACTTATCATTATTTGAGAGCTCATTTTATGTGCTCCTCCTAAAAATTGGGTGAAGGATCACATTTTACCATTTACACTTTTTGATTTCTTTCTCTGACTCTTCTTTTTCTTTTTTTCCTATGATCGCCTCCTTGCTCTTTGTGATGGCTCCCAAGTATTCTCCCACCCTCATTGGTTCTATCACGATTGTTGATTCATCGTATTTGACATAGAACGATGTGAGGGAGCTGCAGACGAGGTATGTTTTTTATGACAACATCATCCTTTGGAGAGTGTCTGAGTCTGTGTGAGCGATGGACGACGTGGATTCAGATCTTGTCTTTTATCGGGACCACTCCGACTGGTGCTATGCTCCGAGCTTTGGAGCATTTTCAAAAAGTATGGGATTATTCCAACCCATGTGCTGCTGAACTCCATTGGCTCGATAATGGCCTTAGCTATCTTCTGTCGTCAAGAAGAAATCACTCGTCGATCGACCTATTTAGTCATTTTTATTGTTTTAAGGCCGATAAGGAGGGATTTGTAATGTTCTCAATTGGCAAGAATCTCCAATTACTTGTAGTTGAGAATAAAATAAGGATTGGAGGAAAAAAGTTTATGATTGGTTCTTGCTCCGGCGACTGGGGAATTCTTTCAAAGTTGTCAGAGCCAGCGGGGGATAGGCTAGAATCCCTTCTAGAGGAGATGCATGTTGCGGAGGCGATTTGGTACCACAACATATTGTCAAAGAAACTACTAATGTTGAAGGGTCAAATGACTTAGGACCGATGATATGCCTCGAACGCCACTGAGGATGTCAGGCAAAAGCAATAAAGGAGGAGCTAGATACAAAGCAACGAAAACTGAACATCCCTCAACAGTGGTTAATCTTACAGAGGTTGTTTTTGAATGCCCACAATTTGGTGTTGTGTCCTTTTTGACGGTCGGCACCAAAGGTGTATAATTCATTGTTTCTTGTTCTATAATTTTGGTGGTTATTTAGAATATGGTGACCGGCGAGGTCCCCATATTGCTCAATCTCATTAGGTTAATGCATGGAAAAGTGAGGGACAAAGATCCACTGTTGACGAAGAGGCTTCCGAAGGAGGCGAGGTACCTAGAACTTTCACTTGTTAGTCCACCCAACCAACCACTTCATGGTGGTCTCATCCCCTGGTCATTAGCGTTGTTCCGCTCGCCTCTCGGTAGCCTGGTCCTTCTCTTATTGATTTTTTGAACAGGACCAAGGCCACTCGCATCGAGCCTACTTCCACTTCTAGTTTCTCTCCAGACCATGACACAGAAATTTCCGCTGGCTATGAGCCCTCTTTGTCTTTGAGAGAAGACCAATCCCGTCGTCCAGGAAAAGAGTTAGAGAAGGAGCCAAATTCCACCCCCTGTCCCCCTTAACCAAAGAGAAAGAGAGAAACCTTTGTATGACACCCGATGAAAGGGGGAGAGGGGATGTTATGGGCCGGTTCTGACGATCGATATAATATGTTGGATATTTCCAAAGATTGGTATCCTAGTTTTGTGGAGACGCTAGACTTCCCTCCACTTTTCTGAAACTGGCCTGGTTGGAGAAATTCACCAAGGAATTCAAGGAGTTAAGCCGTGCAGTGCTGATTCAACATACGACCTGATTTAACTTGTTGGCAGTGCAAGCTACCCACATTCAAGGTTTGATGCTGGCAGCTCTGTGAGAGAGATGAATAATAGGATCAACTCATTGGAAGCCTATTTGTGGAGGGTTAGAGATGAAAAGCAACTCCTCCAAGTGAAGCTTGATAATATCGCCGTAGAAATAAAGAGTTGGTCGAGATGCTGGAGGCTTTAAAATAGAAAGTTGCTTCGTTTGTTCTGTATGAAGAGCATGTGGCAGAGTTAACGAAGTCTAATTGTTGTGGCATGGATTTTGCAGTTGAAAGACTTATCCACCATGAACTGATCTACGCTAAGTATTCTCGACTGGAGGAATTTAAAGTTCTTTTCCATGTCAAAGTCGAGGGATCTATGGAGGAAGAGGCCAAAGAAAGTAGCGGCGAGGAAGATCGATCGGCTACTCATTGAATTTCACTACATCAGAAAGTTTGTATTTTTTTTAAGTTAGTCAAAAGAAAAGTTAATGTAGAAAATT